GAACGGCCCGTTCTGAAATCAGAACGGTCCGTTCCGGGACTCATCCTGAACGGCCTGTTCTCCCTCCAGAACGGCCCGTTCTCAACTACAATATGTAGTTCAATTCAGTAGCTTGGAACGGCCCGTTCCAGTTTAGGAACGGCCCGTTCTGGGCTTTTTTTTTTTTTTTTTAACAATGTTACACGTGTGACAGAAAAATAAATTTATACCAAAATACATTACTTATTAAAGAAGAGCAGTTTTTTTCATAAGCTGATAATGTTTTCTTCATTTCATAAAAAAATCCATTGGGTTAGCAATTATTATTTACTTGAAACCTCAATAAGGATTAGATGATTCTCCCTTTTCAAGTATATATTTGTCACATTTTTTTTATTTAACACATCATTTTCTGTTGGTGACCCGACATCAACTTTTAGAAAATGGACCACATTTTAAAATTTAAAAGAAGATGATTCGAAAAAGCAAAACCACATTAATACCTAAAAAATATTTTTCACTATAGTTAATATGATATATTTGTTAAAAGCCCAAATTGCATGTTACATACAACACTAAAAACAGAAAATAAAATTATATATACCTCCCTTTTTTAATAAATATATTTTCATTCTCTCTTATTTTTAAAATTGTTTTCTACATACCTTTTAATTAATTTTTTTTAAAAATAAATCTTATTTTTAAAAATTATCTTTTTGGTTCAACTTCTCTTCTCTTTACTATCTATTTTTTTTTTCGTTACTTTTTTTTTTTTGGTTTTACTTTAATCACTCTTGGTTGAATTTTTATTTCTATTTTTTTCTTTATTAGTTCTGTCCCAACCCGTGCCTTGTTCTTCCCTAGTGTTTTCACACATTTTATATTTTGATAAAGACACATTTTTGTTCACACATAGTGTCAAGTTGCATTGCATGCCTAAGTTTAATGCATTGGCCAGACAAGGCGTGACCATGCTGGTAAGAGACCATTTTCCATTTCCAATTGAAGGGTTCTTTTCATTATAAATGATTTTAAATAAGGGTCGGATTTTTGAAAAATTTATATCGAACCGAATTGATCGGTGATTAGTTAACCGATTTATTTTTTATAAAATAAACTGGTTTGACTTTTTTTAAAATATGGATTAATTTTTTTAAAATTGGATCGATTTTATGTGGTATAATTATTCATTTTTTATTCATGTATAGATCAATTTTTTTTAAATCAAATCAAATCGAATTGATTCATTTTATAAAAATAGATTGGATAATTTAAAGTGGATCAGTTTAATTTTTTTTCTAAAACAGATCTAATTTTTTAATATAAATTGGATGATTCACATTAATTTGAATTTTTTTATACCCCTAATTTCAAGAGCCACCCATACTGACGAAATCTTCCTCATCTTTGTGGACTAGTGCCAGCCATCAGCTTAAAAAGAATATTTTCATGGTATAGGTTTAATCACACTTTTAATTTTGAAATATAATAGTTGGATCATTTTGGTCCTTGATTTAACTTTTTAATTTTCAAATTTTAAAATACCTAATTTAATTTTTTCAATTATTTTTTTTAGTAAATTTCTATTAATTGAATATTCAACATAAATGATGATGTGAAAATAGAATGTTGATATAGGTTTATTGACGTGAAGTTAGATTGCGACGACACGAGTCTTAACTTATAATTCCCTTATTTATTTTTATTTTTATTTTTTTTTTGGATCGGCAAATGTTAGTAATTATTAAGTTATGTTAGTTGGGTCACGAGGGTTCGAACCTCCGACCATCCTTATTCCTCCAGACCCAGGACCACCCCTTCGCCACCAAACCACCTTATCACTCCTCCATTGATCACACAAATGCAGACAACTAATAGAAATATCTGCATCACCTAATGTTTTTAGTATATGTATAAAAAATTATTATAAGAAAAATATTCTTAAGGGAGTTTTAGAGTGAAAAACCCTGCACATATATTTTGTGTTTTTTCTTTCTTTCTAAATAATGTTTTTAATTAATAAATTTATTTTAATGTTAACTAATAAATATTTTCATACTTAATATTATTGATAAAATTTGTGAGTATTTTCAGATAAATAAAAAAATTTAATTGAATAATTAATTAAAGAAAAACTTATTTGAATTGTCATAATATTACCTTGAAACATCAAAACCAATTAGAATCAACCAATATTTGTTACTTAATCAATTACGATTATTATTTATAAAAGTATTCTTCTTGGCTCTTCAAGCTTTCTCATAAAAATAAAAATGGTTAAGATAGTTATTCAACATATCTTTATTTGTTTAATATATCAAAATCTTAAAAATTAGACACTTCATACGTTTTTATTCCAACAATCTCTGTATTTTTAGGTGACAAAAATTATTAACATTTTATTTTTAAAAGATTATAATAACTTGTAAAGTAATACGCGAACTTCCCCTAAGTCGATGGTTACAAAATAATAGATGTGGGTATCTTTTGGACTCATAATGAATTTAACTATCTAATAGTGTTATACATTTCTGGTTTTATCACAACTTATGAAAACATTAAGGAATGCATAATATGTGACATAAAAACAACTATGACATCAGAGCATAAAAGAAAATATGCATGGCATCGGAAAAATTGATCATGCGCCTATATATATATATATATATATAGAGAGGAGGGTTTAAACGACACCGGTGTAACTTTTACTAAGTGTTACACCGCTTAATAACTTTATATTAAATGTAAATTTTAAAAATCCAACCGTTAGATTGAAAGTTCATATCTCTTAGATCATATATA